AAAAATCAAACGGGTGAGGGTTGGAATAAGCTTTCCACCTTCCGGGGTTGGGAAAATGAAGAACCGGATTTGTTTTTGGGGTGATATGCTGACTCTGTAAACCTCTTAGAGAGGGCTGAAAGCCCTATGAAGCGGTGTATAAGTCTAACTGCTATTGCTATTCCTAGTATGATTTGATTGCTTATTTGTACCCTATGACTATCATGAAGCGTTGTACCTTATGATTTGTGACAAATGTATCTTTTCTTTTATGTACACTGAGAGCCTATGCATCAAAGACAAATTCCCTGTGGGTCCATAAATACTTGGCCAATAAAAAATTCTATGTGACTGCTTTTATGTATGTGTTTTTCATCCACCATTTTGACTCTTTTGTCCCTTGCTGTGGGCAGCCCTCTGAGGGGATTAAGAAGAAGTCCAGTAGGAAGATTTAGGTCTCTATATAGAAGATTATCTCTGAGTACTGTATATATGAATTTTCAATCTTTGTTATTGGCAAGGATCAGCACAAAAGATTAAACATTAAAAAAACCAGAACTCAACAGGACAGAAGAGTACAAGGGCATAGTAATATATTACAATTAATGATAAAATAAATGGGTAATCAAAGTATGGCTAATTTTACGAACAAAATTTAGCTTCTGTCAGAGAAACTGAACCATACCGAATAGTATTGTATATGGTTGGAAGATCCAGATTCAAGTCCCACTTAATTATGGACCTCATTTATGTGCTTTTGGGGCTAATCACACTTTCTAAACTCAGCCTCCCTCACAGAATTGTTATGGAGAGAGGCCTTCATGTACAGCAGAGGTGTCAAATTTGTGGTGACGCATTGTTGTCACCTGACATAGTGCAACTTCCCCGCCCCCAAACCAGGGGTGGGCATGGCCAGCACATGACACGCAGGCCGCAAATTTGATGCCCCTGATGTACAGTGTCTTGAACCCCCAGAGAAAAAGCAAGGTGTCATTTGAAAAATATACATTTTCACAATTAACGGGTATTAGGTAAAGAAATGACTTCTACCCCGTAATAATTTTAGTTCCTAATTGGCACTAATGGAATCACTTGAGGGTTATCAATACCATGTGATTTTTGCAAACGTTGATTGGATGAGAAGCGAAACATCTTCAAAGAAAAACCAGAAAGTCCAGTTTCCTCTTGAAAAAAAGCACCTTTGGGACATTGGTTGGGTTAGTTCAGAATAGAGTTTCTCAACCTTCGCCACTTTAAGATTGGTGGATTTGCTGAGGAATTCTGGGAATTGAAGTTTTAATTGCCAAGGTTGAGAAACATTGGTTTATACGGTCCTCTGTCACGATTATTCCATTCATGTGGTACCAGTAGATATCTGGCCTGTACAAATCATTTCAACCTCTAGATGGCAGCAAGGAGTTACCATTTTCTACATCTCATTGCTGTCATCTGGTGGCTCTTTAAATTATTGTGGCCCTAATTTAGACTACAGAATTGTTCTTGTTTTTTCTTTCTTTCTTTCTTTCTTTCTTTCTTTCTTTCTTTCTTTCTTTCTTTCTTTCTTTCTTTCTTTTTCTTTTTTTGGGTAAACAAAAAACCCTTAACAGAGAATTATGTGCCCAAAGAAATGGAAAGTCTAGACGTTGACAAATGACCCTAGCTGAGAAGAATGTATGAGTAAATGGGACCCTTCCACTTAGTTGGAGCTGCTCAAGGTGACATTTTCAGAGCATTATGTCTCCAAATTAGTCACAGCCCTTCTTTAAATATTTTCAGGGTTTAAAATTCTCAGCGGTCCAGCTTCCTGAAAAACCTAAGGGGAAGTGACTCCATGGAATTCAGGTCATAACTAGCATTTTC